AACTCAATTCCTGTGATTTCTAAAGATATTCTATAAGTCTGAGAGTAGAGTCAGTGGTCACCGGATAGGATCGCATACAGTATGATCCATGCTAACTTAGCACGTCTGTATTTTCTCCTTGGAATTTAGTGATAAAAAGCACAGTGAATGTACCTTTTCACTTTTTGAAGTACACATAACACTCGGATTTAAATCCGAGGTTTTCGCATTTATTTGCAAGTATTCTTAGTGACCGGTACCTCTGGTGGTATTGTTGTTCTGTCTTAGATCCTCGATGATTCTGGCATTCAAAAAATGCTTGTGCTTTCTTTTCTATGATTTCACCGGTTAGCCATTCTTTACGTTGCGTATCGTTGTGATCTTGTTGAAAAATGGCCACACTTGCCTTCTTGACGAATTCCATAAATTCGGAGTACCTGTCGTTGATGCATATTGGGTGACTGCTGGTTGCTGTTGATCTTCTGTCTGGTTCTTTCTGAAATAACTCGATGAGATTGATATCTTGCATTTTCTTCTTGTCTAGCCGTGGTGGTGACCGTTAGTTGAGTTTCTTTCGGCTTTTAAGATGGAATCAAAGTTTTGTTCGAAGGAGATGATGATCTATACCTATGATAGCGGCTACTGATCGATGAACACGAACATCTTCGACGCTTGATCTAAATTTCTTGTTGACGATGGCGTAATCGATCATATGCCATTTCTTATTTCCAGGATGCATCCATGTCATTTTATATATCGGTCTGTGGTCAAAGAATATATTCGATATGACGAGATTGTTCGTTAAGCAGAAATCTATTAAGCGTGTGACCGTTTTCATTTATGCGGTCTACTGCATGGGGACCAACAATGTTGCCACTTGTTTTGTATTGTTGTTTGCCGACACGTGTATTGAAATCACCCATAAGTAGTAGTAAGTCATTGGATGGAACTTTATCGATGGTTCGATGGAGATCATCATAGAAAATTTCCGCAGCATTAATTCCGTGTTGTTGACCATTTGAATTCACAGGGGAGTATACGGCAATGAGTGTAACATTGACTGGGCTTGTAGTAAGTTGAACCATTAGAATTCCTTCACTGATAGCTTGTCAAACGCTTCCACCGTTGTGCCATGCCATTTTTGCTTGTTTATTCAAGCATACTGCTACTCCATGAGCCATTCGTGTTTTGTTGTTGCTCAATTTGCCTGAGCGAATTATAGTGTATTCACTAATATTTTGATCGCCAGAATCGTATAATTACGTTTCACTGAGTGCAGCCACTTGAATCCGATGTTTTTGGAGTTATTTTATGATAAGTTCTTTCTTTGCTTGATGATAACACGATCGCACATTCCAACTACCAAACAATGCTATTTTAAGTGTACTGATGCACTGACTTCGACCTTGTTCGTTAGCCAGCTAGGTTTAAAGTCTCCCTAACACGTGGCTAGCCTGATATTGAGACAATTGGCTATCAGCAGCCCATGGGCGCCCCACACCTCTGCATCGTAAAAGTGAGACCATGTAGATGTCTAGGACATCGCTGGCAGGCCGCATATTGTTGAAACATTCCGAATTATTTGAATTTCTCTTTGACGACACTCACTAACCTGCAAAATTGGCAGGAAAAGATTTTGTCTTGAAGAAATCGTTGATACTATATAAGATTTCAGTAGTAATTCAAAGTGTTCATTTCAATTACGACTAGGAAGAATTTGTCAATGATTTACAATCTGAATACTTACGTTGGACATCATCAAAGTTGTCCGACTAAATAATCGAAAACTGAAAGATTTAAAATGAGTGAAATTTGAAATAAAATCGGTCATAGTATTCAGTGAATTTCTCGAAAATAAGTTCATCGGCATTGCCAATATAAGATACCTGATCGTTGAATATTTGGTTTTGGCAAACGTTCTTATTTGTTCTCGATGCATGCGTATCGATCATTTTCAAAAGAACATTCCACAACAAAATCTAGTAACTTGCAAAGTATGTTGAGAGAAGTGTGCTGAGATTAAGAATAATTCTTGTTAACGAATACTCAAATGTATTCATTACGATCAAGTTCATCGTTCAAATGACTCAAAATGTTCTTGTTGTTAAAGATTATCGCGCTGCTCTTACTTGTAGTTTTCTTTCGAAACATCCTATTCAATAACCAGATAGTTCATCTATACTTAACTTTTCGTCACTCCAAGCTCGACAGCCTATTATCAATCAGTCTCATATACAAAATCATTATATATACAAACACTTAAGAAAATGGAAGATAACGGTGAGAGAACTCACGTCTCTCTTGAATCGTTCAAAGCGGAAATGATCGAACGTGTCTCAGAGAATAAACATCAAATCAATGTGTTGAATGAACAATTGGACGTCTGAGAACGTAAGATTCGAGAAATACGAAACTGTCGTCAAGTCATTGGAAGAAAAACTTGAAATCAAAGATCAAACGATTCAATTTATTTAAAGCAAGACGGAAACTACTGAGTCCAAATTTTATGATTATCAATTAAAACAGCATCAATGATATTTTTTAAAATATTCTGCAATTCTTCATATTCCTGCCTGACTCAAAAGTACTACCTGTTACAGATGAGTATTGCTCCTTGTTTATCTGTACAATTCAAGAGTGGAATAGGAAATTGACATCATGATTGTCTACACCTTCGAAACAGCCTAATGTGTCATCACCGAAATCAAAATAAAATACAACAACACTATTATTGTCGTTCTAGAGGACTAAGAACTGGAAGAGCTTAAACACTTAATCAACTGTTGTTCGAAGAGGTTTAACGCTTTTTAATTAGTGTTTGGGCTTTACTTTTATTGCCGTTTTTTGTTGTTGTAATTTTCTTGTAACAGGCACTATATCTGTATAGGCCCTATCGTGAATAGAGGGTTAAATAAACCGCAAATATTCAATTGTACATCACAATAAGCTTTCAATATAAATTTGACATTTTTTCGATAGTTATTCAGATGATCAATATTCTTTAATGTCTCCTATGAAAAAGAACAAATTAATAAATAGACTTTTGTTGAATTATAAAATAATTGATTTATATTTATATTGATTAAGGAGGAATGAGCAATGAATATTTATATATAATAATAATCAATGATAAACAAATAAATTGTTTAAATGATTAAAAAGATTGATTATCATAAAAAGAAGAATAAATTTGATGATGATGTTCATTCTCTTGATTATATTTTTCTTAATCGACAGATGTCATAAATCTATAGTCTGATAAACATCTATGGACGCCATCTCTACAAAGATTTTAAAAGATTTTTTATTTATTATTTTTTTGAAAAACAAAACTAAATTAATTTTATTTAAAAAAAACGAATAATATACATTTTGTTTTGAAAATGAGAAAAATAATAAAAATGATTGATTGTTTTTATTAGGGAATAAAGAAGGAAGATTTATTTATTTATTTATTTATTTATTTATTTTATTCTTTTATATTGTGAAAGAAAATTTTTCAAAATAGAATATAATGTGGCCTGAAGTTGAACAAGCATCATTAAATCATCGTTATGAATTAGTTTTATCTGGTGATAAAATAACAAAACGTATTGAAGAAAAAAATGAATTAGATCCATCAATATGGACATTAAATCAATTGAATTTTCTTGAAATAAGTCAATGTCCATTAATTGAATCATTATCAGAAGATATTGGAAAATTAATTAATTTATCAACATTAACATTAACATCAAATAAACTTAATAAATTACCAGATCAAATTAAAAATCTTGAAAATCTTCGTCATTTAGATTTATCAAATAATCAATTAAATAAACTTAATAAAGATTTATTTTTAAAATTAATTCATTTAGAAACATTAAATTTAAGTAATAATTTATTAGATGAAATTCCACCATTTTCAAAAGAAAATAATAAAAAATTAGCTATTATTAATTTATCTCATAATCAAATTGAAACACTTCCAGATTTTCCTCAACAATTAGAAAATCTTTCACAAATTGATTTATCATCAAACAAATTTAAACATTTTCCGAATACACTTTTACAATTAAATTCATTAAAAATTATTATTATTGATTCAAATCAATTGACAGATATTCCATGTCAATTAAGTCAATTACATAGATTAAGAGGTTTTCTTTTTTATTTTCATTTTCATTTTCATTTTCATTTTAGTTTTAGTTTTTTTTAAATCTTTTTATAGAAATTCGATTTAAATCAAATCCATTAAAAGATAATCGATTAAAAAAATTAATGGAACAAGATAAAATAAAAGCTGTTTTAGAATATTTATCTAAACAATGGAATGAACTAGAAAAATCAACATCGAATTTATCAAAAACACTTCCACAACAACAACAACAACAACAACAACATATTAAACAAAATGAACAAATTCAAGATAAAATTCAAATTTTACATATTGACCAACAAGGAGATTTAAAAGGAAGACAAAGTTTGTGTCTTTTATTTTTGATTTAATTCTAATTTTTTAATTTATTTAAATATTAGTAACAATATTACCTCGAGTTGTCAATGTTCGACCTCATATATTATGTTGTATTGTTCGAAATATTGATTTATCAACACCAGGAAATTTAAAGAAATTTTTAAATCTTCAAGTAAATTTAATATCTTTTTTATTTATATTCAAATAATGAATATCAATATCAATAAAGGGTGACTCACAAGTTCTGACTCGATTTTTATTAAGAAATTTTTCTAGAGTAAAACACGCTCGAAAAAATAGCTTTTGATTGATTCGGCTAGCGAATATAGTAAGAAAGTTATAGACTTAGAAATATGTTTCTCGCAATAAGAAAAATTAGCCATGGACTTTCTTTGTAGATCCGTGCTTTCAGTGGAAGTCTCGTAACTTCATAAAAACAAAAGATTTTTCGATCAGGTTTTGTTCTGTTCTGGTCAGAAATGATTTTTCTTCTCTACCTAACCGCAAAATCAAGCATCGATCGCGTGTTTCTGTTTTGTGCTTGGGCACATTATCGAAAATAGGAGTTTTCAATTTTGACAACTTCATTCTCGAACATATCATCTGATATAATAGAATATTTTTACAGACCACGGGATAAAGTGCATTCGAAAATACCAAGCACAAACTGAGTTCTCACGTCTGCTAAGCTTTTTCATGAAAATAATAGGAGAAGATAAAGTTTAAATCGAAAAAAATATAGAATTTTCAAAGTTTTCATTTTTCCTGGCTCTCGTATAATTTGCTTAGTTTTCTTGATTGAAGTTCTAAAATTGAAGTTTAGCTATGATTTTCTGGAGAATATCATGATGCTTCTATTAGCAAAAGAATTCGTTCTTGGGAACCTAACAAACAGGTGTTCAAGCAAAAAATACCGAGATCGGGTTTACTGTTAATTTTTCTTTTTTGTGAAGCACATTTATAAACTCAGAACTTTTTTACTATATCACCTAGCGGAATTAATCAAAAGATATTTTTTAGAGCGTCTTTTACTGCATCTTTTTATTATAGAGACGAATTTACAAAGACGTGTTTTACTCTAGAAAACTTTATTATAAAAATCGAGAGTCAGAACGGACTTGTGAGCCATTCCCTTTATTGATCAATTTAACAAACAAATAAATCTTGATTTATTTAAAAACAAGAAAATTTATCTTAATACATAAGCATATTATATATATTAAATTCTAATTTCTATTATTGTTTTTTATTTTATATTTAATTAATATTTTTTATTCTTTATTATTATTGTGTACTCAAAAAGTGAGTACACTCTAGAATCGGTCAGTGTGTCCGTCCGGCCGTTAACACGATAACTTTTGAAAGGAGAGTCCGATCGCGATGAAATTTTCTACACAGTTTAGTCTTTATAATATCTCGGTCGAATTCGAAGATAAGAATGATTGGTCGAACCATTGCTGAGCTATTGCAAAAATAGTCATTTTTCCCTATGAGAAGATAGACCCTTCTCTGCTTTCATAAAAAACTTTTCCTATCATAGTCATATAAACCCCCAACTATTATAAACCATTCGATAGAGAATTTCACGAGCTACAAAATGGTATATAAAACATAAAGAAACAAGAAAGCTAACTCGCCTATTGCAAAGATAATTAATCGGAATTCGGTTCTGTTTTTGTCCACGCTCTATGTGATCCACAATTCGAGCTCTATCTTCCCATCACAGAGATGATAGTTCGAGGTTTTCTAGAATGGAGAACTCGAATCTATGTTCCATTCGCCTCGAAATCCCATTGGTTGAGCAGTGACCAATAGAAATCAAGTTATAGGAAAAACGAGTTTCTTACGGTAAATCAAGATGAAGAGTTCAAATCTGAGCTGTATTTGCCTCCACATCGTATTGGCTGAGCAATAGCCAATAGAAATTAAGTGTTTACAGGAAGGGTTTGCCAGAACAATTTTGATGTCCACACATTCTAGGGTGACTCATCTGTTTCATTCACTTTTTCCTATACCAATATTGACCTATTCCAAGGAGGGAGGGGGGTGTTTAAATACCTTTACGTCTTTAAGTCCTATATTGGGGGGGGGGTATCGTTATCTCCTCAAGTCCTGTATTATAAGGGTACCCTTAAGTCCTCAAGTCCTATATTATAGGGGTATCTTTAGGACCTCAAGTTCTATACTATAAAGGTACCCTGAGGTCCTCAAGTCCTATATTAGGGTACCTTTGGGTCCTTAAGTCCTATATTATATGGGTACCCTTATGTCCTCAAATCCTATATTGTGAGGGTGCGCTTAGGTCCTCGAGTCCTATATTATGAGGACTCAATTATCTTCACGCTTTTTCCATAGAACCTATATAATTATTTTTCGGAATTGACAGAGTTGGTCTGTAACTACAAAACGAAGACAATCAAATGGGTAAGTATGCTGCGTTTCAGATTTCCTCAATGTTATTCTTCCTAAAACTATGACAAACTCATGTGTACTGGCATTGCCGGTCGATTCTTTTAGACAGTTTGATCAAGATCAATTTGTCAACAATTATGTTTAATTTTTTTATCAAGCTGTCCAAAAACATTCATCCTTGAGCGCACTAAGGAACTGCCCCTTAGGCCCTGCGGATGCCCTCTTTTTGTCCCATAGGACGCGGCGAGGAGTTAGTTCCGAAGACTTTATTTACTTGCATAAACGAAAAAAAATTTGTTTCTTTTTCTAGTTAAAGCTTATTTCATATTATAAACTCATGGTGATTAAATCATAGTGCGGTACAAATTGTTGAGGATTATCTTGAAAAGGTAAGAGAGCATCATAATGCGTACCGTTGTAATAAACACAAAATCCTAATTTATTCATATCGGATTTGTATCCTATATATTTTAAATGACCACCTGCTGTCCGTTTATTAAATCGATCGATTAATTCTTGTAAACTAATATCCAATGAAATATAATGTCTATTTTTTGGATCACTGTTAAACTGAATATATGAATAGATCGGATGGGATAGAGCTATCGAAAGCGCTTGAATTTGAACTTCTCCACCCCATATTGTATCCATAGCTGTTCTTTTCAACTGTTCTTCAAATGAATAGTGCAATACTTTACAAAGTTTTTGGAAATAATCGCTATTATTAATCATTGCATTGACTGCCAACAATCTCATCGAATGTGTTAGTTTTTCAGATCCGATATTTAATATTGAAAGAGAACTATATAAACAGTTGCCATCTGCAGTCGTACGAGTTCTAGCATAAACTGAATCGAACGCTTGAACAGAATATTCTGTTTTCGACTTTAATCGGACGGATTGGTCTTTATTATGCACAGTTATAAATGGCGACTTTTCAATTAAATCATTGATTATTTTAGTGTGACTTGAAATTTGATTAGTCTCTGTGGTATTATTAAAATCAAGTACAAGAAGAAAGTGATCAAGAATCTTTCTTGAGTTTAAATCAATGATTTCATAGTTTTCGGAAGAAGATTTTTCTTCAGTTTCCATCGCATCAGATGACTCATTAACTGTGAGATCTTCCAAACAGAAAGACATATCTAAGTCAATTTGTTCGTTTCCGTTTTTATCAACTGCTTCATGACGTTCAAAAACGAATTTCTCATCGACTTCCATCGTGTCAGATTGATCATCACTTATAAAATCTTCGATCTTTAAAGGTATATTTGTATCAATGTCTTCAGTTTCATCAAAATGAGACTTAGTCACAACTTTATGTTTTCTGATCCATATTGGTTTATGAAAACTTGTGAGACTTTCAAAATAATCAGATTTCAAGCTGTTCACATTAGTGAAGCAATAGTCAATCTGTGTTTTGGCATTAGTTGAGCTTTTATATAATTTATTATTCAAAGTAAGCCCGAATGATTCCATATATTCAATAAATTTGTAATTGGTTCTTATCTTCAAATCTATATTAAAATCACCAACAACAATTATATTTTCACAAAATTGTTTCGAAACAGTTATAACTTCCTTAATACTTCGTTTTAAGACATCGAGTGATGCATTTGGTGAATTGTAAACAGAAATAATACAGATATCATCAATTTTTATTGAGGAATATTCAATATGGTTTTTGCCTGAATATTCATATTTTTCGAGAATATTTTGATGGTTCAAGTCATTTCTTAAATAAGTAATTTGACCAAATGGTTTTCGTATGTCATTGCAATCACGTCTTTGAACTATCTTAAAACCTTCAATTTCTAAAGAGTCACCAGGTTTTGTCCATGTTTCGACAAGACTTATCATGGAAGAAGACAAAAATATTTTGTCAAATTTAATATCTGAAATATGTTTATTCAATGATTGTACATTATGAAACATAATAGAAAATCTTTCTTCTTGAGATTCTTCAGGAAATTCAAGTGAAAATTTCAGCATTCGCTCAGATCTGATGTTTTTAAACATCATCGCTACTGCATCATTAGGTTCAGGTGGTTTTGGTGGAACAAAATCGCCAATTAAATATAAATCACTTGATTTTGTTGCACGACTACAAGAGACATATAATTCAGATTGTGTCATCCCTTTCTTTAGATTGACAACGACTCTTTCATAAGTACCACCTTGAATTTTGTACATAGTCATTGCTTCACAAGGAACTAGAGGAAACTGTTTACGTTCTACTTTGAAATTAGTTGATCTTGTATTTATTTGCCCTATTACTGGTTCAATTGGTGTAAGACTGAGATCGATATTTCTATTTCGCATTACATTGTGAAAGTTAGCTCTAACTTTTCTTCCAGTCTTCTCCTCACTAAATTTGGGTGTGGGTGTGGGTGTGGGTGTGGGTGTGGGTGTGGGTGTGGGGTGTGGGTGCACTCTAAAAAAAATCGGTTTTTTACCGAACCCCTGAAAAAGATTCCGGAAATTTCTAAAAGCGTCCAAAGGTGTCCAAAGTCTCGAAAAGAGGATAAAAAAATCTACGAAACCTTTATAGGCTCTTACTGTGTACCCAGGATACGAACCTTTTCCTACGAAACCTTTTTTAAAGTTCTGTACAGCAGAAAAAGGTTTCGTAGGAAAATACGAAACCTTTAGAGTTTCGTATTAAACTCTAGGAAATCATGAGGGTTTAGTATGAAACTATTAGGGTTTAATATGAAACTCTAAAGGTTTCGTGTTTTCCTACGAAACCTTTTTCTGCTATACGGAACTTAAAAAAAGGTTTCGCAGGAAAAGGTTCTTATCGTGGGTACACGGTAAGAACCTATAAAGGTTTCGTAGATTTTTTTATCCTCTTTTCGAGACTTTGGACATCTTTGGATGCTTTTATAAATCTCCGGAACCTTTTTCAGGGGTTCGGTAAAAAACCGATTTTTTTTAGAGTGTGGGTGTGGGTGTGAGTTTAGTTGTTGAATTTACTCACACCCACACCATAAACAACTGAAAAAGAAGAAAGAAAAGAATTTTTTCATTCTGTGGTTTCTGTAAAATCTCTGCTAACTATCAGAATAAATAAAACAAAAAGAAAGTAAACTAAGCTAGCTTTCTTCGCTTCTCTATTAAGTTTTTCGCGGAAAAATGATGAGCGATTCTCGGAATAACTATTTGAAAAAAAGAAAAGCATATTTTTATTGTATAGTTTCTGTAAAATCGTCGAGCACTATCTAAGCAAGTAGATTAAAAAGAAAGTAAACTGAACTAACTCCTCGCCACGTCCTACGGGACAAAAAGAGGACATCCGCAG